GAGGCGCCTCAAAGCTCGTGCTCCATGGTGAGCAGGTTTTTCACCAATGCTGCAGCAACCTAGTGGAGCAAGCAACAGCACTCACCGATCGTGCTCACGACGGCATCAACCATCACAGCATCTTGTGAGAGCGACGAAGTCATGATGACGCCCTTGCGCCTCTCCTCCTGCTCGTACGCCGTGGTGAGCAGGTCCCTCACCACCGTGTGCGCCTCCACGCCGTTGATGAAGATGGGCAGCGGCACCAGCCCCGCCTGCTGCAGCATGCGGATGAGACGCGGGATGTAGGGCTGCTGCGTCACCACGTGCTTGCGGTACAGCAGCAGCGCCACCACTGGTGCCGATGGGGGGAGGTTCTGGGAGGAGCGGAACCAGCGCAGGTACTCACTGGGGGAGGTGAAGTAGCCGTCTGGGGGTGAGGTGGGGAAGGAAGACAGAGAACAGGAGATTTTGTTTGGAAATGAAAAACGAGACCTGGGATTGTACGGTGGCAGGACGGAATGATGGGGAAGCCATCCGGCAGTTGAGATGTACAGTTCCCTTGTGAGCTCACCATAATCAGGATGGTACAGCCCAAGTGGGGGTGTCTCGACAGGAGCAGACGCCGTGATGCCAGTGGGCAGCAGGTACTCATTAGCGAGGTAGAGGAACATGTTGACCACGTTGACCAGCCCGCCCTGGTTCCAGTACCCGTACACCGTCAGCCAGTTGCGCAGGTCCCGTGCTCGCTTGCCCGGGATGAAGCGCAGCAGCTTGGGGCCGACCTTGAGGAAGCTCAAATACCCCACCATGCGGTCCTCCTCCCGCCCGCCTCCGAACTTGGAGAGCACGGCCTTCACTGGTGCTGGCATGCCCTGGCTCTTGCCGCCCACCATGGCGAAGCTGGGGGATTGGGGAGAGCAAGGGCAGAAGCGTTGGGGAGGGGAGAAGATGGAAAGGGGTATTTGGATCGATTCGTGGGCAGTGCAGTCTTTTGGGGATGAAGGTAACAGGGGATGCACGTGCACCGCGTCGATGCATGCATGCATGCACAGGGTATGTGTGGTGGGGTACCTGCCGAGAGTGGTGGTGGCCATGAGCTCGAGGGAGGACTCGAAGATGAGGCGGATGGGTGACTGAACATGTCACCATGTGGATGCATCTATGCATGCAGCCATGCAGTGCGTAGATAGCCTAGGGGTACCTGCCGTGGATAGCCTAGTGGTGTACCTGCCGAGAGTGGTCATGGCCATGAGCTCGAGGGAGGACTCGAAGATGAGGCGGATGGGGATGCTCTTGATGCGCTGCTGCAGCCACTCGCACTGCCAGCCGTGTGGGGGGAGGAGGCACACCGGGGCGACATGTGGTGAACGGGGGAGAGTGCAGAATCTATGTGATGGCTGGATGGTTACTAGTGACGAGACAAAAGGTGGGGTAGAACATGGGTAACCGGGAAGAATGAAAAGAGAGTGTTCTGCAAGAGGCAAAACTAGCTGATAGGTATTCCTGACTGACATACAGAGACGCATTACAAATATCATTGCATGAAGGTCATGAAATGAAAATACAGCCGTGCCGCGCACGCACCTCATCATAGTCAAAGATAAGGCTGCCGAAGAACACATCTGCCCGTGCCAGCGCTGCCTCCATCTGCCGTGCTCACACGCACACATAAAGAGAGGGGCGGAGTGACGGAGGTTGAAAGGGGTCAGAACAAGACCAGTCCATGCATGAAGGGCGCCTATGCGGGCATGGCATGTGCGCCAGGCGTGGCATAGGACTTGCAGAAAAGGGCGCAGCGCAGACAAGAGCAGGAGAGATTGCATGTCTGACGCACCTCTCTGCTCTTGGAGAGAATGTCCCGATTGGAGAAGACAGAGAGGCGGATGCCTGCATGGTACAGGAGATTCATAGCAAAGATGGAGCACGCCGAATGTGAATCTAGCATTGGAGTTAGGGCATAGCGCAGGTAAATGACACAAGCTAGAGCCACTTACCACTCACCCACTCCCTCAAAGCAACATCTTTAACCCATGCGTGCCATCAACCCCCCACCCATACACCCGCCCCTTGCGTCCCATCCCCAACCCAATCCCCAACCCCCCCAACCCCCTTTCCCTCACCAGGGCATTGGGCGCGCAGTTGCGCCGCAGCCTGCTTGTAGAGCGCCACGTTAAATGACTCAAACCCCGCCACCAGCACTATGCTCGCCACCTTGCGCTCCCCCTTCGCCCCCAGCCCTGGGATCACTGCTGCTGGGCCCTCCGCCTCTGAGTCCGACCCTGATAATGTCTCCTCCATGGGCTGTGCAGGGGAGGACGGGGTGGGGGCGAGGAGAACGGGTGGGTGGGGGACGCGGTGGGGGTGGGGGAAAACAGTGGGCGTTGAGAAAGTAAGGGAGAGCGTTTAGGGAGGGGCGGATGCAGTGCAAGGAGGAGGGATGCAGTAGAAGGGGTGGGAAAAGGCAAGGGGGTCAGGGGAAGTGGCTGGCAGCAGTGGCTTCTGCTGCGGAAAGATGACCTCCAAGGAATGAAACGTCAGGGAAAGCAGTACGTGCGACAAGCGAAGGGGAAATCCATTCAGAATTGAAAGAGTGAGGGAGGGAGGGAGGGAGGGAGGGAGGGAGGGAGGGAGGGAGGGAGGGAGGGAGGGAGGGAGGGAGGGAGGGAGGGAGCGAGGGAGATAGGGGCGGAGTGTGAAGAGGGCCGTACAGCAGCAGCAGCAGTGCGGGCCTCGTCGAGCTGGTCCAGGAGCGCCCTGAGCTCCTGCCGCGTGCGATCGCGCCTGAGAGCCAAGCTGTGCACCTCCCTCTGGAAGGCCGTCCATGCTGCCCGGTCCACCGACTCTGATGTGAGTGCAGGAGTAAGGGAGTGTGCAAGTGAGGGAGAGCGGAAATGAGGGAGTGCTGGAGTGAGGGAGCGCGGGAGTAAAACATTGTGGCCACATCCTGCACCAGTAGAGATCAGTGAAAGGACGCCCCATGACGGAGTGGTTACACCTGGTCCAAATAGAGATCAGCTAGCCGCCTTCAAAAACTCCAGCAGCAAGCAGAAGTATTGAGTTGATGGCGTTCGGTAACAAGGTTAGTGTTGATGTTCGTGCCAAAGAGCTGCACGGTCAGAAGTAGAAGGATCATGCGTGGATGCTTTGACCGAGAATCTGCGTCTAGTACAAGCAACAATGCCATTGAATCTGCAGGGGTACAATTCCTCCCCCTCACCAATCAGCGCCTTCAGCACGGATGGCTCTGAACGGCCCAGGTTGCCCCACGCCTCCTCATCCATGCTCTCAAACACCCGCGGGGAAACGTCGTCAGCAGCAGCAGAAACGGGCTGTTGCTCCTTCTCTTCCTCCTTCCCTTCCGGTTCCCCTGCTCGTGATGCCTCTGGTGCAATCTCTACGCCAGCGAACGTCTCAGAATAGAGCTTGTCAATGTCAGCCTGCAGTTCATGTGTGCGACAGGAAAAGTGGAGATTAATAAATCGAGTATATAATTTCATTCCTTTCTTTCACGTAACTCAACCTTCAGTCTCAAAAAAATGAAAAGAGCTGGATACCCAAGAATGTTAAAAGGCGGGTGCAGTTTGGTAGCGTGACTTTCGGATGTGTGCGTATACCTGTAGTTGCTCCAGCGCGCGTTGCTTCGCGTCCACTTTACCCTCCAGCTCCTTCACGCGCTTCTCTCCCTCTTCTACCGCCAGCAAGAACGACTCCGTGCGACTCTGCTGAGCCTGCGACCCGCTGTCGTCGCCTGTCGCAACCACATCATCCCTCGCTAGAACGGATGTGACTGTAACGAAGCGAGACGACGTGGAGCGATGAACGGGAAAAGCGGATGAGGAGAAACGAAGCGCGGAGATGCTTCCTGGAAGGAGGTCGGATCGGAGGTGATTGCGGCGACGGGCTGACACGTGTACGATTCGAGCCGGAGTGATTGTCGCGCCGTCATTTCTAACGCGAGACGGGAGGAGAATGCTAGAAGCGCGCTGGATTCCTGACGCTGCTAGTGTAGACTGCGCAACGGCGGAACTCGCCATGGCTGACAGGCTTTCAATGTATACTCAGAATAATGTCAAGCGGATGTCCTGCGCAGTAATTTTTTAGTGCGTGCTAGGACAACAGAAAGCCAAATTTGGAACTTGTAAAAGAGTCAAGATTGCAGTAGGTGACGAGTTGGAAATGTGATTTCACATCACCAACCGAAGAAGGCTATCGCAGCGCAGTCTGATAACCCTCGATGAACAATGGCTGCCTGGATTCGACCATGCACATACACCACACCACAGCACCGCACAGCACGACAAAGCATGGCACAACACAGCAATGCTTGAGAAAAGTCTGCTGCTGAACAATAATGAAAGATTCCCTCGGAATGAGCAAAATTGCTCTGCAGGCTTGGAGAATGCAGTGCTCGACGAAAGTGGAGGAATGGGAAGGTTGGAATTCGACTTCAATCGGTTCAAAACGATGTGAATATAATTCTTCTCTGCGCGCAAAACGTTCGAAGGCAAACTCGACAGCCCCGAGAGCAAATTTTCATGAATTCACTGTAAGATATTTTCACTGAACTGTATCTGCTCCGCGCCCTTGGGAATCGAAACTTCGAAGCCCCTTGAAAGCTCCACGTCTAATCGAGCTTCCCCTCCCCAAGCGGGAAGGCGCGTACGCGGTATAGAAATGTCGGTCATCTGAATCTTGTTTGGCTTTCCAGCGATGCACATGGAGCACTCACAGCACGCCACGATATTGCGGAACATACACGTGGAAATTTTGTCACAATCACCTCTCCACAATCAAAGGCCGAATGGTATTCTTGCTCAAATCCACCCTTCACCAAAAATTGCCCCTTCAGCAACAGCGCAGTCTCATTTCACACAAGTAGGTCACAAGATGATGTAGCGCATTAATGCATTGGTTCAGCCGAAGTGAAATCGCGACGCGTCGCATCCTTCTCCGTTCTCAACCAGCCTTCGCGGCCGCAGCATTACCTAATTATCGTCGCGAACGTTGACTTTCACAAAATGCTGTCTATCAGCCGTGTCCCAACAGCCACCACAGCCCCTACCATCTCACCCTCCTCTCCCTCGCGCTCCCTTCCCTCACAGCGACTCTCTCATGTCGTCGTCGTAAACCGCTCTCAACTTCGCAATACCGCAACCAGGAGCCTTCTAGTTCACCGCGCGCAGCTGCAGCAGCATCAGTCTCCTCCAGTCGCGTCTTTCCTCGACCGCTCGCTGCTGTTGCCGCTCCGCGCTCGCCGCCTTCCGCATCCCCCCTCCAGCGCGCATGGCGCGGTGCGGCAGTGGCGAGCGGTGCCGTGCCGAGCCAGCGGGTCGAACGGCGACGGCAGGGAGGAGCGCAAAGAGTACAGGTACGAGCGAGCGTGCCCTGGTGGAACCGATGCGTGCATTTGCGGGATGGGTGCTGCTGGAATTGATAGGGAATGCGAAAAAAATTAGTTGCATGTGGAATTCGATCCCGCTTTCCGGCCTCGCCGCTTCCACCACACGCTTGCACTGCAACCTCCTCCAACCCCACCTTGTCCTGCCTCCTTCCGCCCCCCTCCCCCCCTCTGCCGGTTCCCCGCAGCCAGGAGGCGCGCATGCGGCGGTGCTGAACCCGTTCCGCACGGTGCGCATGTTCCTGTATGACGCGTTTGGTGCTGAACTTCCGTTCCCCGCCTCCCTCCCCCCACCCCCGCCCTGGTGTCCCCTGCAGTCAGGAGGCGCGCATGCGGCAGGAGGTGCTGAACCCGTTCCGCACGGTGCGCATGTTCCTGTACGGCGCGTTCATCGCGTCCGCGTCCATCGGCGCGCTCATCACTGCCACCTCGTTGCTCGCCATCGCGACCGGCGCGCGCGACGCGGACGCGCTGCAGATCCAGGACTCACTCAAGGACCTCGGGATTGACGTCGCGGCTGTCGCTATATTCGCGTTCCTGTACCGGTGAGGCACAAGGAGGCAGAGGGTGGGGCTGGGTCAAGAACAACGAACTGAACCGTATGAAGAATGACTGGAAAAGAGCGTCCTAGGTGCTCTGAAAATGAAGGAACGGACCAACAGACACTGATGTAAGTGAACAAGGAACGGCAGCACCGGTCAGTAGCAATCCATGCCGAAGTAAGAAAGGAAATAGCAGGGGCCAGCAGCGACAGTGACGGGGAATAGAATCCTCCTTCTCATTCATTCCTTTTTTTTTCCCCTGCCACCCCCATGGTCGCACGAACAAGGGAAGGACGACTCCTCCCTGAACCAACTCCCCTGGCAGCTATTTCGTCCTAGACTGCATTCGGAACTCTCCATTCCTTCATGCTTCCCCTCACAAGCCTTACACCCCACCCATTCCCATTCCTGTCCCTGTTCCCATCCCCATCCTTTTTCATCCACTCTTCAAGGTCGGACGCGCGCGGCAAGGATGCGTCCCTGAACCGGCTCACCCGGGAGGAGTCCCTGGCAAAGCTGCGTCTAGAACTGCCCACAGGGCGAATCGTGAGCCTGGCCCAGCTGCAGGGTTCCTGCCGACTCATCATCGTCGCTGGCCCCCTCTCCCACGTGCAAACCGCCCTCACTGCTGCCGAGCCGTACCGTGCTGCACTCCTGGAACGAGCAGTGGTGGTCGCTCCGCTTGTGACTGTGGGTGCTGAAGCAGGGGCAGCGGCTGCTGAGAATGTTGTGCTTCCTGGGGATTTTAAGGGGTTTGCGGAGGTGGTGGATGCAGCTTGGGGAGGTGAAGTGGCTGGGGATGGTAGTGGTGCGGGGAAGGTTGGAGAGGTGGGTGTTACGTCACAGACTGCTACAGCTGCCAGTGGGTTGCTTCAGAGGTGGATGGGCCGGCCAACTTACACTGATGAGTGGAACAGGTGAAAACTGCAGTCATTGATGGGTTGGCAGCTGGAAAGCTGTTGTGCTGCGTTGGTTGTTTAATTGCTCTGCTTTGCTTTGTGCAGATGGTTGAAGGAGCAAATGAAGTTTGCCAATGTGGCTCCTGGATCTCCTGTGTAAGTCCACGAGCCTATCTTTTCCGGTGTTTTCCATCCTACGCTCCCATACACGTGATTATTTCTCTGTGCCATTCATCAGTTCACTGCACTGACATACCTCCACTACAATTACTCTGGCAGGTACATTTCTCTACGACTAGATGGGCGTGTGCGAGCTAGTGGAGTGGGATATCCTCCCTGGAGTGTGATCGCTGCTCAATTACCTCCATTGAAGGGAATTTGGGCTGGCCCACTTGATGGAATGGATGGCCGGGTTTTGTAGTTATGTTTCTTCAAAATTCAATCTGAGAGCTTTTCATGATAACATCCGTAGTGTAAATTTGGAAACGAGGAGTGTACAAGTATGAAATTCAGATGCTGATGCGGAACTTCACTTGATTGGGCGGAAACTCGACGAACTCCGTTAACTTGCCGTCCAAGCAACGTGGCTTCGATGATGGTCATTGGTCACATGACCCACATCTCTGCCATGCTGGAACGGATTATTCACGACCGACATGACTCATGGCAACTCGCGAACATACCCGGCGGTGTGGTTACCGCTATGCTCTACTTCCTCGCGCGTCCCATCCCATAACCTCGCTCAAGGCTAAAATGAATGATGAAACCCTAACGCCAATGGTAAACAAGCACAGAAACCAGTTTCAAGGCTCGCTTCAGTTCTAGCGTTCGAATCCTGTTCTAGTGGGTTCTGCTTGTCCCGTCGCCTCTTCCTCGTTCTAGTATCCTCTTGCCACCATGGAAGCCGCTCACGCCGTCGACGCGCACCTTATGAAGGATCAGCGACCTGACGTGGAGGCGGGCCCGTCGTCTGATTTGCTGTACCCAGGAATCACGCGGTCCGAGAATGAGATGCGATGGGGGTTCATTCGGAAGGTATGCTGCATGGAGTAACGTTCTTCGCGGCAGGTTCGCGGTTTTTCTTTTCCCTGTAGTTCTTCCATGGACGTCATTTGGTCGCTGCTTGTTTAAGATAGTACTCGTGGCTTCACTAATTGCGCGTCTGGCTTATGCGGCGTGCATAGTGACTCCCTGTAGGACCAACGTGCAGGCTAATCAGTGAGCGAGTAGATGGGCCGAAGCGAAGGCCTGCGATGGCTTTGCTGTGCTTAGTAGGATTCACTCACGTATTCTTCCACTTCTGCAGGTCTACGGCATCATTGGAGCACAACTCCTGCTCACCGCCGCCGTCGGATCGTGCTTCGCTCTCATTCCAACCGTCCGCGACTTCGGCCTGACCAATGGATACTTCATGTTCTTCGCCACCATCCTACCCTTCGCCAGTACGTCCCTTCCTCTCACTCCACGTTCCTCCGTCATTGTGTCTTTTGCCTTACGTTCCGCGCTCATGCACGTCCTTTGCTTCAATCGTCGCCTCCTTCCAGCAAAATGTTCGGTTCATGCCGGGTTATCTCTTTGCTTCAGTTAATTGTGACGGTCGACGCTAGATAGGACGGCTCTTTTGTTTTCGATGGGCCGCGTAAGATTTTCTCGTACGTCCTTCCTCTGTTCCGTGTGCAGCGCTCATTCCTCTCGTCATTTACCGGTCTCGCCATCCTCTCAACCTGGCCTTGCTCGCCATCTGGGTACGTCATCTTGGCACTTAATGTGCATGTTCCTCCGTTCCCTGCTTTCGCGTACGGCTTTCAACTCCCGCTGGTGACTCGATCCTATTTTCTCGTTTTGCGCTTTCCGTCTGACAACAGAGCCCTTTCTTCGCCTTCCATTGTCCTCACTCACACCGCTCTTCCCCCTTTCTCCTCTTCCCCTCTTCCCTCTTCCCCTCTTCCTCCCTTCCCCCTTCCCCTCTTCCCCTCTATTCCCCTTCCCCTCTTTCCCGTCTTTCCTTCCTCCCCTTTTCCCCTCTTCCCGCACCCTCTCTCCCACCCCACTTTCTCCCCTCCTCGTCTTTCTTCCCCCCGTGTGTCTGACCGGGCAGACGGCGTCTATGAGCATGACTGTGGGTCTCATCTGCAGCATGTACAGCGGTAAGCGTCGTACTTGGGTTTTGGCGATGTGTGAAAACAAGGGGCGGATGGAATGGGAAGAGGAGGGATTATGGTGTGGGGTGGGGTGGGGCTGGGAAGGTTCCGCTGTGTGCTCCGTTCAAGCCCTCTCTGTTTGTCCCCCTTCCCAATTCTCCACTTCTCCCCACCACCCTCCCTCTCTCCAACCAACCCCCCCCTCCCCCTCCTTCAATTTTTTGACGTCTTCTCGTCTCCTGCACTTTCCGTTCCATTTCCATTCCGATGTTGCGATCGCTCTCTGTACTTTTTGAAGCTCCCGTCAGCTTTCCTTGCCCTCGATCATTCCTGGCCAGATATATCCAGCGACCCACTCGTACTTTCGCTCCCTCCCTCCCACCCTCCTGCCAATGCTTTTCCCGCACCAGGCCCCATAGTGGCCGAGGCTCTCGGCCTTACGGCTTCAGTGGTGCTGGGGCTCACAGCGTACACCTACTATGCTGTCAAGAAGGGGCAGGAGTTCAGGTACGCTCCTGCCTCCTTTCTCATCTCTCTCGCCCTGCCATGCAATCGCCTTCTCATCGTTCTCCATTCCTCTCCTTGCCTCCATTGCTTTTCCTTCTCCTTCCCCCTCTCCCCCCTTCTCTTCGCTTTGTCTCCTCCCTCCCCCCCTCCCTTCCACCCCGTCCCCTTTGCTCTAGTTACATGTCCCCTCTGCTATACGTGGACTTATAGCGGCAGCTTTTTCATTTCTTCTCTCAGTCTCGCATCTCTCTGCACCCCTCCCACTCGTCGTTCACTCGTCCGCCCCTGTTCCAGCTACCTGGGTCCCATGCTCTACGTCAGCCTCTGGCTGCTTCTTGGCTGGTCCTTCATTCAAATCTTCTGGGGCCTCGGCAGCGAGTGAGTTCCAAACTTAGCTCTCAACAGTCAGTGTTACACTTGCAGATGTTTGTCCGTGCTCTTATACGTAAGGCGAGTTGCTGGTGTGAAACAGGAGGGCATGCATAATTTTGTTCGGTGCTCTTATACTTGCTGCTCTTGGCGTTGCGGACACGTATGCTGGGTTTCATGCCACTCTTTCCCACCTACCTCCATGTCTGCCTGTGTGTGTTCCCCGTGTGCAGGTTTGCTCTGGCTCTGGTGGGTGCTCTCATCTTCGCCCTCTTCATTGTGTACGACACCGACCTCATCATCAGGCGTAAGTAACCACATAATTCTCACACAGTTGTGCGATGAATTGATCTCACAGTACTTGAGCTGGATCCCTTATTACCCTAGTTTATATGGCTGGCTGCAGTGATATCTTCATTTGAGCTTGCATTTACTTACTTCCGCTATGTTCTGTTCCGTGTGTGTGCAGGGTACTCATACGACGAGTATGTGATGGCAAGCCTCAACATTTATCTTGACATCATCAACCTCTTCATTCGCATGCTTGAGATACTACAGTATCTGCAGGGTAAGGCTCCTGCTGCTTGTCCTAGAATTTGAGTTTTGCTGCTTCGATGCATATCCATTTGCATGCATCTGTTGTTTTGGTGCTGTTCATGGTGATTTTGGGTTACACTAATGTTGACGTTTGGCATGTGCAGGCAACAACTGATCAAAGAGTTTTAAATGATCGGGCATGATGTGGTGTGAATTTGTTTTTATCCGTGTGTAGGCCATATTGTGATGTGTTAGACTACTGAGATCTAATTCAGTTTATTAGACCATAAGCTTCTTTCATGAACAAAAAAGGAAATTACCGTACAAGAAGCACTCGTTCGTGTTATTTTCCTTGCACCGTAAGTGTGCTCCTTGTACACGTCAAATATTCATGCACCGCTGTCAAAAATCCCGTTGTGAACTGGCCGCGTCTCGAGGTAGCAATTATTGGTGTTGCAATCGACAAGCGATGCGGATGAAATGTAACGCTGTGCGATCAGTTTGTGTGGGATTGAAATGGTTTGGGATGGTTTCAGTTGGGTTAAGATTGATTTTCACGGTTCAACTCGGTATGGAGTCAAAAGAATTGTTGATGGTTCTAGGCCAGAAATCCCTCCCATTCACGTCCTCTCTACTCAAGTCAGGATTTAGAGATCCCCCCTGTCCGAAACGAAGCGGTAGGAGCGTCGAGAGCACGCGCGAAGATCAATCTTCAACGCAGTCTGTGATCCCATCATTGCTGCACCGAAGCTCGTTGTGTGGGTTCTTCTAAATCGTCGATTTTCTCAGTGGCTTCACGGCTTCAGTATCAATCTCGCGTTGTCCCGACCCTGCTTAGCCACAGAAATGCCGCATCTTGCTCATGAATTGGCTTCGGGGTTCAAAGGTTTCTAATATACGTACGAGATTCGACAAGCGGCGATGGAGCTAGATTCGACCGCTGCACTGAGTGGCACATTAGCGGCACGCAACAGCGCAGCTCGCGCCGCTCCGCGCGCCGTGCACACCGGAGTGCGCTCGGTTCTCGAGGCACCTCAAAAAACGACTTCGCACACCGGCGGGGTGCGTTCGCCACGCCTCGTTCTTCGCCGGAATACGCCCGTGCGTCTAACCCGGCGGCCGCCAGCCTTGGTAGCGCTACTCATGGTCGTTGCCGTCTTGGGGTATGGCAGCAGTCGTGGCAGTAGCAGTAGCCTGCCGCACGAGAAGCCCCCGTGCGCGCCTCACTCCCCTCACTCTACTCTCGCGCCTCTCGCGCGTCTCGCGCATGACGCGCATCACTCCATTCACGCGCTTCAACGCGTCTCGCGTCGCCTTCTGCAAGAATCGCCCGCCTCGCCCTCTGGCAAGTCCCTTCCGCCGTGCATGCTCCCTTTCCTCCCCTCCCCGCGCATGCGCGCTGCCCCCTCCCCCGTGAATGTGTTATACTCCCCCTCCCCGCGCATGCGCGCTGTCGCCTTTTCGCTTTCACACTTAATTCGCATTTCCCCTCCTTAATGACATTTTACAACCCCCCAACTGCTCCCCACAGCTATCCCCCTTCTATCCCGCCCTCCCATTTACCTCTTTCTTCCCTCTCGTCCCGCCTCCTTCTCCTCCCCTCCCGCGCCCCTGCGCGCCCCACACTGTCAGGTGGCTGGAGCAGCCGTCTGCAGTCGCACCCTCTTCTCATATCGTTCCTCGCCACGCTCCTTTGTGCTGCAATCATCTTCGTTATAGCCAGCATCGGTTTCTGCATGTGCTGCCGACAAGGTGCGGTCCCCCATGCGCTGCTGTTTCTGATAACCCCACCCGCTGCTTCCTCTGGTTGGTTCGCTTGTGTTACACGGTTGTGGTTTCACGGTTACTGATGTTGCTGCTCCTCCTTCCCTCACCACCGTGGTACTGCCTGACGTCTCTCCCTGCCAAGGGTCTTGGCTGGTGGTGTGCTGCCATGCGCTGCCGTGTGCTGCCATGCGCTGCCGTGTGCTGCCATGCGCTGCCGTGTGCTGCCATGCGCTGCCGTGTGCTGCCATGCGCTGCCGTGTGCTGCCATGCGCTGCCGTGTGCTGCCATGCGCTGCCGTGTGCTGCCATGCGCTGCCGTGTGCTGCCATGCGCTGCCGTGTGCTGCCATGCGCTGCCATGTGCCATATGTTGCATGATGCCGCATGGCTTGGTATGCCATGGCATGGCATGGCATGGCACCGGATCACTTTCCATGTGCAGCGAGGAGGGCAGAGAGCAGCTTCGACGAGGTGTTTCTAGCAAACTACATCGCGCGCTCCACCCACCACTACGACCCCCTGCTCAAGGTACCCCCCTTTCCCTCCCCTCCGTTCCCTTCCCATTTGTTCTTGCGCACACCCTCTCGCTCGGTCCCTCTGCACCACTCACCCACTCACTCGCTCATTCCCTCACTTCCTATTCACTCACTCCCTCCTGCATTCACACACTCACCTTCTAATCCTTGTTGCAGCACTTTCCGTCACATCTCCACCTCCCTGCACTGCTGATCACCCATTGGTACCCCTCTCCATACCTCTCCACCTTTCCTCCAACACCCTGTAGTTCTTCTCTTCCCCTGTCCACATCCCTTCCCCACTCCACCAATCAGCTTGGTTCGGGTCCTTTTGGCGAGTCCTTCCCTTGCTCCGGACCAGAGGGCGAGCCTTGGCTTGTGGTTCGGGCCACCATACCTGATGGTTTGGCAGGTGCCACGTGGCTGCCTTGGACTGGCGCAGCTGCCAAGAGAAGAGCGTTCAACGAGGAAGTGAGTGATAGAGAGTGAAGCTGAGAGAATTCCATTTCCTTGAAGCAAGAAGTTCCGTCTTCCATCCTGTTTCACCTCTCACCTTCCACCTCTCGCCCCCCACCTTTTCTCCTGTCACTTCAACTTTTTCAACACTCACCCGCACATCTGTCTACCCACACGTGCCCATCCCACGCCAACCCACACACGGCAGATCGTCCGTTTTTCTGGTCTATCGCATCCCCATCTGCTGCACCTGATTGGCTGGAGCGACCAGCCTCTGGGGCAGCCGGGCGGCAGCGGGCGGCTGAGGCAAGTGGGGGAGAGCATGAGGCAATGGGCGCAGATTCTGTGGCGGAAGAGAGGCGCGCAGGAGCAGGGAGGAGGTGGGGGGGGAGCGGGGCGCGGCATTGGTGGGGGGTCTGGGCGAGGTGAGGGGGAAGGTGAGAGTTCTGGGCGAGCAGAGGGTGAGGCGTTACGGCAAGCAGGGACGCAAGGCAGAGCAGAAGGGACTGCAGGTGGAGAGGAGGACGGGGACGAAAGGGGGGAGAAAGGGAAGGCGGGTGACCAATCTGCTGCTCCTTCTAATTGTCGAGTGGAGGTAGGAGGAGAGCGGGTGGGGAAGGAAGGGAAGGGCGGAAAGGGTGGGGAGGGTGTTAGGGAAGGAAGGAAGGGGTGGATGAAGCGAACACAGTGCGCACCAGAACCAGGTGGGGGGAAGGTAGGGAGTGGGGCGTGGGAAGCAGAAGATGGGGGAGGAGCAGCAGAAGCAGGAACATCAGCAGTAGCAGGAGGAAGAGCAGAAGAAGCAGCAGGAACAGGAGCAGCAGCAGCGGCGCCAGCATCAGTGGGAGGGAGAGGAGGCGGTGGGGGGAGGGAGCTGCTGCTGCTGTACGAGTGGTCTGACCAAAAGACACTGTGTGCTCGCTTGCAGGCACAGAGGGAGTTGATGATGCAGGGCAGGGACAGTGGTAAGCACGCACATCCTGCTGATGAAAGCGTGCTGTCATTCTGAAATCATGGATGGGGGGATGTAGCTGCTGCTGCTGTACGAGTGGCCCTGCACACAAATTTTGCTTCCGGTTCCCCTTTCTCCCACCCCCCTTCCCCTTGCAACATCAGACGCACAGTCCGCACAACCACTGGCCTTCTCTCAGCGTCTGGACATCGCCTCAGCCATTGCAGAGGCGCTGTGCCATCTGCACACGGTGGCCCAGCCCCCCCTGGTGCACCGCCGCCTCTGCTCCTCCTCGGTCTTCCTTGAAGTGCTGCCCGTGGTGAGTGTGTCTACGTCTGATGTGCTATAGAGCCCTGTAACGTGTACATTACACGGTATGAGCCGCCTCCAAAGGCTGCACAGCCCCCGCTGGCGCACCGCCGCCTCTGCTCCTCCTCCATCTTGCCTGTGGTGAGTGTGTGCGAGAGTTATGATGTTTCCCTACATGCATATAGATATGCACATGTTATATGATGCACAACACTATCTCGTTATTTGTCGCCACCCCTTGCAGGCCCGGTTGGCGAATCTCGGTATTATCAAGGGCCTACCCAGCTCTCCCTGCTTACTTCAGCAGTGCCACGTGGCAGCTCCTCATAGGGACCCGGATTGGTGGGAGCGCATGTGGCCAACCACCCGCACCGACATCTATAGGTGGGTTTCTTTATTGGTCTTCCCACTGTGTGTGCTCAGTGCAATTGCTTTTGAGGAGCCTCAAAAGTCAACCCCCGGCACAGACATCTATGGGTGGGTTCCCTTATTTGTCTCCCCATTGTGGGTGACTTTTGAGACGTCTCAAAAGGTGGGAGCGCATGTGGCCATCCCCCCGCACGGACATCTATGGTTGGGTTTCCTTATTGTCTCCATTGTCTCCCCACTGTGGTTGCCCACTGTGAACCACTCACTCTGAACTTTTCACTCTAATTTCTCATTGTGGTTCCTAGTGGTTCAAGTGGGCGCAGAAATAAGTCTTCCTCAGTGTGCTTTCTAGGTGCGGTTCTTAGTGGTGTGTATGGGTGCAGAGTGCCGTGCATGCGTTCAGCCGTTCTTTAACTCCATCTACCTGCCGTCACTCTCTCACACCCCCACACCGCTCACCACTCCTGTCTCACCCCGCTCCTCTCACGCCTCCCCTCTCGGCCTCACCCATCCAGCCTGGGCATTATCATGCTAGAGCTGCTCTCAGGCTGCCCAGCCACCACTACGGATCATGCCACTACCAGCACCACCGTCTCCCTCGATGTGCACCAGGTGGGGGGGCCTTTCCTCACCCCAGGTAGCCACTCCAAGGTGCTGAAACATCATTGCTAGAGGTCACGTTCGTCGTCCTTTCCTCTTCATACTTTTCCCGCATCTTCCCTCCCCAATTCCTCTCATCCTCCTTTCATCCTCCTCTCTCTCTTGATCCTCTTACCTGTTCCACCACTCCTCGCCCCCAGATGTTAGCCAGCATAGCAACCGACGATCTTGCTGCGGTCCTTGATCCTTCAATAAGCGCCCAGTCCATGCCGTTCCGTCCCATCCGCTCCTTCGCCCGCCTCGCCACCCGCTGCGCCGCCCCTGCCGCCCGCTCTCGTCCCGACATCAGCACAGTGGTATCAGAGCTGCAGGGGATCAGCCGGGCGATGATTCGACTCAGCATGGCCCGCACCACCGCCCACAATTCGTTTGTGTCACGAGCAGACTCCTGCCTGAACTCTCCAGATGGCTCTGAAGAAGATTCACCTGAAGATTCACTTGCAGCTTTACCTGAAGATTCGCAGTCTGGCTCACCAGAGGTACAAACAGAAGAGCTGGTTGACCCTAGTTGGAATAGCAGGGGGCAATTTCAAAAGCTCAGGTGATCCATCAGCTAATGTTATTGGCCTACGAACTCTGATGGTCTAATCTAATAAAAGCTTTCAGGCCTACGATGACACTGTGGAGCAAATGCCCATTTCCCCAATATTGGGCTACCCTGATACGCAAGCTCTGGAGTTATGGTACTGTGGTTGAACACTGTGTCAAACTTCCATGAGCCAAGTTAATGTGCTCTGATCCAGTAGCTTTGTAGCATACCCTGCTCCAGCCCTGTGGTTTTTGCTTGCAAAGGTGTGTGATTCTACAAGCCCTATAATTAGTGTGCTCGTTTCTACAAGCTCTGTAGTCACTGTGCTTGATCTTGAAGCCCTGTACTTATTGTGCGTGGTTTCACAAGACCTGTAATCAGTGTGCTCGATTGTGGAAGTCCTGTAGTTAGTATGCTTGATTTCACACGTCCTGAAACTAATGTGCTCATTCTAGATGCCCTGTATTTGAAGTGCACGATTTTGCAAGCCCTGTAGTTGGTGTGCTTCGTTTCACAAGGCCGGTGTGCTCAATACGAAAGCCCTGCTGTTAGTGTGCTCGATTTTACAAGCCCTGTAGTTAGTGTGCTTGGTTTCGTACGGCCCTGTACTTAGGTGTGATCATTCCTACAAGCCCAGTAGTTGGTTCACAAGCCTTGTAATCAGTGTGCTTGGTTCTACAAGCCCTGTAGTTAGTGTGCTTGGTTTTACACGCCCTGTGATTAGTGTGCTCAATCTACAAAGTCCTGTCGTTAGTGTGCTCGATTCGTCAAGCCCTGTAATGAGTGTGCTTGGTTTCACATGCCCCTGTAGTTAGTGTGCTCGATTCGTCAAGCCCTGTAATGAGTGTGCTTGGTTTCACATGCCCCTGTAGTTAGTGTGTGCTGTGCACGATCCTACAAGCCCTGTCATCTTTGTACTGTGTTTCAGAAGCTCTGTGATTAGTGTGCTCGATGTTACAGGCCCTGTAGTTAGTGTGCTTGGTTTCACACGCCCTGTAACTAGTGTGCTTGATTCTACAAGCCCCGTGGATAGTTTGTACGAGCCCTGTAGCTAAGAGTCGAGCTCTGAAGTTAGCTGTCATTAGTGAGCCCTGTGGTTAGCTTGCCTTAAGGCAGAGTCCTGTGGTTAGTGTGTACGAGCCCTGTGGTTAATGTGTACGAGTCCCGTAGTAAGTGTGTACGAGGCCCTGTGGTTAGTCTGCACGAGCCCTGTAGTTAGTGTGAACGACCCATGTAGTTAGTGTGTACGAGCCATGTGGTTAGTGTGTACGAGTCCTGTAGTAAATGTGTACGAGCCCTGTAGTTAGTGTGTACGAGCCCTGTAGTTAGTGCGCACGAGCCCTGTGGTGTGGTTAGCCTATGCAGGGGGGCGCTGAGGTGGGTGGGTCGCAGGAGGAAGTCTTCCTCAGGGCGCACGAGACTTCCTCCTGTTAGCCTACTAGCAGGGAGTCTCAGTGAACGAACCGCGGTGATCATGGCGAGGAGATAAGGAATTCAAGGCAGCTTGAGAGAGGAAAACAGGATAGCAGAAAGGTGTTCGCTGAGAAAGAGGCATTCGGTGAAGCAAATTGGAGGATTACGAACGATTGAGAACGGTGCGAAGCGATTCACAAAAAGCTTGTGGTAGCGAGCCAACGCTGCAGATGAGAACCAGGAAGGCAGTTTTCCGCTGGTGAGGTGAAGGCCGCCGTAGCGTTGGCAGACGCTCACAGTTTGTGAACCGAGCTTTGACGACAATATTTGGCAGCAAAAGAGGTTATGCGAGGCGATATGAACAATTCTTTTTTTTGGGTTGCGAAGCAACCTATTACAATCTTTATGTACATTTTTTTCATCCTCTATATATAAAAAAATAAAGGATGAAAAAAATCTAGTGTTGGTAACTAAGTGACTGACTGCTATGTATTTGCCACGTCAATTTACCACGCGCCGAACCACATTTCTTCTCATTTCCTAGTTTGCCATAACCTATATTTTTTTAGTTGCCAAAATGATGTACTGTGAACGCGTAAGTGTTTATTGCGTGATGTATATTCCCGATGGTGTTATGCGTAGATGAAGTAAATGCAAAATGCATAAATATAATGCATATGCTACTGTGGTAGTGAAATGAATGCATAGCATAATGGAAATGCGTAACAGTTACCGTAATTGACCCAGACCCTATGCTACCGCATCCCCTGCCTAGCATGGGGGAGAGCTCAATAACATAGTTCCTGAATCATCCAACTGTCACATGATACAACACAATCTGTGTGATCTAAAAAAAAGGTCAATTCTATCAAATCCAGTTCGAATGGACACACTCATTGAGTGCGCAAAGAACCTTCTCGGAAATGATAGTTTGATCCCAATTTTTAAAACCCACAGACATGCGTTATTGATGCAATTGATGTGAGAATAAATGATCAGGAATGAAATGACTAAGTCAGGGTTGGGTACAAATACAACCCTAGAAAGCTGTACCCCATATGTGCTACTCCACTATAGCCTACAAACATGCATCAGCTATAATAATCTGACACACCCCCATAGGCAAAGTGGGGGAGAACAAGGGGTCACAAGACCAGTCAAGCAAAGCAAAGCAAAGCAAGCTCAGGGTGGATCACAAAGTCACCACACAGTCCGAGCACAAGAGCAGGGCCAGAGGCCAGTTCACATGCAGGAGTACAGACATATATATAAAACTAGACAAGCAGGAGCAGGTATATATATGTCACAGAACAAGTAAAGTCAAGAAGAGAGCAAGTGAGGCAAGACAGGCACAAGACCCAGCTGGGTGCAGAAGCGCTGATGGTCACAAGGCGCGAGTGCCTTGGTGAACACATCAGCAGTGTTGGCCTCAGAGGCCACGTACGCAAGTCGCAACTGACCACGCTGCTCCAGCTCACGAGCAAGGAAGTAGCGGAGAGCAATGTGCTTCGTTCTGTGCTCCAAGCGCTGCTCTCGACACAAGGCCAGCATGGCCTTGTTGTCTACGTACAGCACTGGAGGAGAACGAGGCGGCTCTCCAAGGTCAGTCAGCAGGTAGGTGAGCCAGCGAAGCTCCTGTGCAGCCATGGCCCCGGCGTACATCTCAGCCTCACAACTGGAGCTGAAAACCGAAGACGAACGAGTAGACCGCCACGAGACAGAGCCGGAACCAAGACTGAAGGTGTAACCCTGTGACGACCGCTGCGTAGCCTGGTTGTCAGCCCAAGAAGCGTCCGCGTGGCCTGTAAGGACCACTGGACTCCGCCCTCCAAGCACTAGCCCCATGCCCGACGTACTGCACAGGTAGCGCAATACCCTCTTCGCTGCAGCCATGTGCTCTGGTCGGTGTCTCCCAGGAGCAACATAGCGTGCAAGAATGCTCAGAGGGTATGCAAGGTCAGGTCGAGTGCAGGTCATCAGGTACATGAGGCAGCCAACAAGCTCTGGGTACGGGCCACTCGACTCTACGGACTCATCCGAAGGCAGAGCTGAGAGTGAGTGGCGAGTAGACAGAGGAGTGGCCTGAGGCGAGGAGTACGTGAAGCCGAAGCGCTGAAGGACCTGCTGCACCATGTGTGACTGAGTCAAGGTGATGGTGCGGCGTGCTCTGTCCCGAGTGATCTGCAAGCCAAGGTAGCTGCGCAGTTCACCCAGGTCTGTGCACGTGTGTCTCTTCAGTAGCTCGGACTTCACGTAGGCGAGTCCAGCAGTGTCCGCTGTGGCAAAGACCAAGTCGTCGACGTACACGAGGATGTAGAACGGCGGCAGTGAAGTGTCGGTGCGCAGAAACAGCGACGGGTCAGTAGTAGACGGAGCAAACCCAAGAGCCGCAAGCGTAGTCCTCAGTGTGTCGTGCCACTCACGCGGTGCCTGGCGGAGACCGTAGACTGGCCGTCGGAGGCTCCACTGGGTGCCAGGAGGGAAAGTCCCAGTGAAGCCAGGTGGACGACGCAGCCAGATCTCCTCGTGCAGGCTACCCTGCAGGAACGCAGTGCTGAAGTCGAGAGAGTGAAGCTCGTAGTCGCGCTGAGCGGCTATGTGCAGCAGCACCCGAAGAGTGGTCATCTTCGGGGTGGGAGAGAAGGTCTGAAAGTAGTCAACTCCCTGCCGCTGACTGAAGCCACGAGCAACGTACCGCGCCTTGAAGACAGGTGGAGAGCCCGGCGGCCGCTTCACCCGGAAGATCCACATGCCACTGACGATGTTCGCCCCAGGAGGGGGAACTGCGTCAACGTAGGTGCCTGTGGACTTCCAGGAAGCCATCTCTGCATCCATAGGTGCCTGCCACTGAGAGGAGTAGGGACCCTCTACGGCCTCGGCGTAAGAGCGCGGAGTCGGGATGTCTAGTGCATCCGGGTCTCCCTCAGGAGCAAGCAGTACAGACGCGAGATGAGGTGAAGCAGCAGCCAGACACTGTAACTCCTCCTGCCTGTCCTCTAGGACGTCCGTGCCAAGAGCACACTCACCCCCGACGGACGGAGGACAGACAGACGCAGACTTAGCAACAAGACTAGCAGCGTAGTCTAGACGACAGCGAGCAGCAAAGTCGACGAGCTCAGCGACAAGAGCAGACGCAGCAGTGGACTCAAACGAGGGGTCAGTGACGACAGTAGCAAGCAGACGCGTGACAGTAGGACTGGCAGCACGAAGAGAGTCCGACTCAGGGTCGGCAAGCGCAGGAAGAGAGGACTCAGGAGGAGAAGGCAAAGGGGCACGAAGAGGAGCAGTGGACGGACGCAGAGACATCCGGTGCGTGCCAGGGACAGGAGGAGGACGCTGACGCGAACCGCGACCACTAGCGAGAGCAGCACGAACAGGCGACGCGGGACGAGACGCAGGCTCACGACGCTCAGTAAGACCTCCAGTAGGACCAGTGTAAGGAGAGGGAGCAGGCAGAGGAGAGGAAGGCTCCAACAGTGACTGCGACTGGACAGGCTGTGGACACTCTACCGGAGGAGAAAGACCAAGAACCTGCTGCAGGAGCGGAACGAAGTACGGCCGAGGCCGCGCGGCAGCTCCAGACTCAGCAGGGAGAGCACCAGCACCCTCAGCGACAGTACCAGCGCCACCAACACCTCCAGCGGCAGGACCTCCAGCAGTACCAGCAGCAGAACCACCGCGAGGACAGATAGCAGTGGTCTCAGAACCAACCCCCTCAGCAGCTCCAGCTCCAGGAGGACCCGCAGGCCCAGCAGCTCCGGGACCGGCAGCACCAGCACCCTCGACTGTTGAAGAAGCTCCAGCTCCAGCAGCACGCCTCCAGCGGCGAGCAAACCACTCGCGCAACTCCTGTGGAGAGAGGGGCTCCCGTCGAGACGCAGCAGCAGGAGAAACCCCAGGCTCAGCACCCCCAGGCTCAGCAGCTCCCAACTCAGCACCCCCAGGCTCAGCAGCTCCAGGCACAGCACCCCCCGGCTCAGCACCCTCCGCAGTAGTACCCCCAGGCTCAGCACCCCCAGGCTCAGCAACTCCCAACTCAGCACCCCCAGGCTCAGCAGCTCCAGGCACAGCACCCCCCGGCTCAGCACCCTCCGCAGTAGTACCCCCAGGCCCAGCACCCCCAGGCTCAGCACCCCCAGAGTCAGCACCCCCAGGCTCAGCACCCGCAGCAGCACCAGAGTCACTAGTAACCTCGACCGGGTCAACTGCGTCTACCTGGGACACACCTGAGGGGGCAGGAACCTGAGGGGGGAGGGGGTCTACCGGGGGGGGAACCGGCACAAGGAAGTCCGGTGAAGGGGGGAGGGAAGGAGTGCGGTAGGGGAAGAGGCGGTAGAAGGGGACTGACTCGTCGAACGTGACGTCCTGGGAGGACAGAACACGGCGAGAGGTGGGGTGGTAGAACTGCCACCCTGGTGCGTCAGGGGGGAAACCCAGGAAGACGCAGGGAGCAGCACGAGGGGACAGCTTGTCCGCAGACAGGTCGCGGACAAACGCCCGAGATCCCCAGACACGGAACGCAGACGCATCGCCAACCTTCCCCGTCCACAGCAAAGCTGGGGAGGTCTCCGGCATGGAGACCCTGGGGTGAAGGTTGATCTGATGCGCCGCGTATCGGACCGCAAACGGCCACAGAAAATGGGGGGCAGCCGCATGCATCATGGACGTACGGGCTACGTCCATGACCATGCCAATGCGGCGCTCAGCAATCCCATTTTGCTGTGGAGAGTCTGGAAGCGTGAAGGTCTGGCGGATACCTCGTGCACGACAGTAGGCTCGCAGAAGGCCAGAGGAGAACTCTCCGCCTCTGTCCGAGTGCAGACGCAGAACAGGAAAGTCCGAGCCAAAGCTCTTCCTGAGCTGGAGACGAGCCTCGCGGATCCAGTCGATCAGCACCTCAGTGACAGCACCCTTGCTGAGCAAGGGGAGGACCGTGGTGTAACGCGAGTAGTCGTCAACCACCAACAGAAAGTAGCGCTCGTGACCCTGCCCACGGACGGGGGCTGGGCCCCACACGTCCA